AGAGTTGAGGAAAGCCGCCGAAGCCAACAAGGACAATTTAGCTGCCCTTATGGTATGTAATTTCTTCTTTCTCACTTGAGATATTAACCATTATTATCTTTGGGTGATTCCACTTTCTGATTCTGCAACATCTGTTTGAATATCAGGTTACATACCCTTCAACCCATGGAGTCTATGAAGAGGGTATTGACGAGATCTGCAATATAATTCATGACAATGGAGGCCAAGTTTATATGGATGGTGCTAATTTGAATGCACAGGTATGGTTTCTCTGCTGGTACAGGTTATATGTTGGCTGAAGATTCCAGAGTTGTTAAATCGGAGACTGTTTGAATTTCCAGGTGGGTTTGACTAGCCCTGGTTTCATTGGAGCGGATGTTTGCCATCTCAATCTCCACAAGACTTTCTGTATCCCTCACGGAGGCGGTGGTCCCGGTATGGGCCCTATCGGTGTGAAGCAACATTTGGCTCCATTCCTACCTTCTCACCCTGTGGTTAGTGTTAATTCTCGTCTCTTGTGACTGCTAAAGTGCTAATCCATCTTTCTCATTGATTCAGTTATCTGCTTTCTTGTTCTCACTCTACTGACTCTGCTACAGATACCTACAGGTGGTATCCCTGAACCCGAGCAGACATCACCACTGGGAACCATTGCTGCAGCACCATGGGGGTCTGCACTTATCTTGCCAATCTCGTATTCCTATATTGCCATGATGGGGTCTGGGGGACTCACCGCCGCCTCTAAGATTGCAATTCTGAACGCTAACTACATGGCAAAGCGTCTGGAGGTATCTCTTCTTCTTGCAACTCTTTTAAAAAAGTGAACTTCTTTCTCTTGTGCAACCTCACTTATGTTTTCTTGTTTTTCAGAGCCACTACCCAGTTCTTTACCGTGGTGTCAATGGAACAGTCGCTCACGAATTCATCATTGATTTGAGAGGATTCAAGGTATATTTCTGTAACTCATTTGAGTATGCTCTCTTTTTGGGGTTGTAGAATGTCAATGATGAATCAATGTCTCGTTCAATGCCTTTAGAACACTGCTGGAATAGAGGCCGAGGATGTAGCCAAACGACTGATGGATTATGGATTCCATTCACCAACAATGTCTTTTCCTGTCCCTGGAACGCTTATGATCGAGCCAACCGAAAGCGAAAGCAAGGTAAATAATGCCTTGAACAGCAAATCTCTCAATCACTCAGCCCGAGTCTCTAAAACTTCATAATTTGTATGTACGTAATATTTGCAGGCTGAGTTAGATAGGTTCTGTGATGCTCTCATCTCAATCAGGGAAGAAATTTCACAGATTGAGAAAGGAAACGCTGATCCTCACAACAACGTTCTCAAGGTAAAGAAAAACCGAGACTGCAATTTCAGTTCAGTCTTTCTCTCTTGTATGATTACTAATGACCTTAAAACATACACAGGGAGCTCCACATCCTCTTTCATTGCTAATGTCAGACACATGGAAAAAGCCGTATTCCCGTGAATACGCAGCCTTCCCCACACCATGGCTCCGCGCTTCCAAGTTCTGGCCCGTTACAGGTACTTGAAAACCACCAGTGGCATTCGCTTCTTGTTAGAAATTTCGTTTTCGTCTATCCCCGTTGCCTCATTTTTCTCTGAAACAGGGCGTGTGGACAACGTGTATGGAGACCGTAACCTGGTTTGCACTCTCCAACAGGCAAACGAAGAACAGGCTGCAGCTGCAGTGTCTGCTTAAATGAAAGCTATTCACATTAGCACCGGATCCAATCTTTATTTACGGCTTTTACTTCTCTTTCCCAGCCATCAAATTTCATTTCACTTCCTGTACAATGTACATACATAGTCCTAAACTATCCTTCATTTTTATCTAATAAAATTACATGTTCCACTTTCATATACAACTTATGATTCGGACGATAATGTGATCACCAGCAATATTCATGACATGATCTCTTTGGTAAATAAAGTTTGAATCCTTAGGCCACTTTAGAAGAGGTGTCCACAAAGCGTACTTAGCTTGTTTATAAACAAGTGTATTAGTAATTTTCAAATACATGCCGTGTCATGTGACATGATTGTAGATTTTTATGCGAGTTACTCGTGAATTAGTACTGACAAGTTTGCTAACATTTGTCATATTCTTTACTAGCTAAAATTGTCAGTTTACAATTTAACATAATTTAATTTGTATTTTTTCAAAACTAACACAACAATAAAGATATGTATATATATAAAAAATAGAAATAGTAAAATATAAAACGTCACGAGAAAAGCAAGTTTTGATTTTTTTTTTTTTGTTTTTTTTTTAATAAATATTACTTGATTTTGTCCAAAAAAATAAATATTACTTGATTTGTTCATACAAGTTACCCTTCATTTTTCTAATAAAATATATGTTCCTTTTTCTACTTTACATCCCAATGATTTGTTTTTTTTTTAGTTTATAATTAGGAGATTGGATTAAAAAACTATTATTTTTAGATTTAATTTACAAATGTTGAGATATAGCATATGATTGGTTGCATGTTGAGTAAAAAGTGGAAGGTAAGTAACAAAAAACAAATAAAAGGAAAAGAATCTAAATCCTAGAGTAGTTACTTTTCTTTCTACTTTTGGTAGAGTTAAGTTTAGAAACTGATACACAATAAAGATACTATGTATATAAAATAGTAAAAATAAATAGTAAAACAAGTTTGATATTAATCAATTTTTCGAAAAAAAATTATTACTTGACTTATACTTACAAGTATCAAAATCATATTTTTTTTGTTACTTGTTTTTCTAAGTCGGATGTGGGCAAAATAAATGGTTACCAAATACTTATGTATATCTTTATCATATGTTGTTTTAGTTAATACTTAGAAAATTGGGCAAAGTAACCATAATTTTAGGTTTTATTTACAAATGTTGATAGATTGTATAGTATATGATTGGTTGCATGAAGAGTAAAAAGTGGAAGCTAAGTGACAAAAAAAAAAAAACTAATAAAAGGAAAAGAATCAAAATCCTAGAGTGATTATTTCTATTTTACTTTTTTTTTTTGGCAAGAGTTAAGTTTAAATCTACTTTTCTACTTTTTAAGTCAGAAACAGACAAACAAAAAAATGTTTTCTTTTGCATAATTAATGGAAAATAAAAAGAACCTAGAGTAAAATTTCTTTAAGCCATTTTTTTTCTTCAAAATAATTATCAATTAAATCTGTAATATTGTGTCTACAGTGGATGATTTTATTGTTATCAAACATATATTTTGTTCTATAATAAGGTCTATTATTTTTGTGGTAATTTTATGCTAATAAAGAAGGACATGACATGATTTTCCAAGAAATATCTTTAGATACGGATTAAGTTCAAAGAAATATCTTCAAACTTTTTTAAAAACCGACATTTTGGTGTCCTTATTGGAAAGTAATACATAATGGATACTTCGAGAAACCTACGGAAATTATATTTTGCGAGCCAATTCTTTACTATAATTTTGATTTAAGTAAGGTAGACCAAATATTTAGTTTATGAACAATAGTGTCAGCAACAACTTTATACCATGTCGGAATAAAAAAAATCTCATCCTAGAACAACTGATCAACCATGACAATGTCTAGTACCATTACCACTATCAGCAGAACTCAATAAACCTAACCTTAATGACAAGACTCATTATGAAGTTGAATTTAACTCGCAGTAATTCTTTCGTCACCATCATTAAAAAAATAACTACCAAGCCACCAAGCCACAACGTTTTCATATCTTAATTTCATAAAAAACACGTTTTTGTTTCTGAAACGTTTCATTTCCGTGTATCCGTTTCCGTTTCCATGCAATATAGATGATAAATATGTATCAAGTAAGTAACAGTTGACTATACAATGGCTGAAGTCTTCTGACTCACGAAGCAGGCAATATGCGGACAATCATACTAGGTGCACGATTGGCTATTCTTTATATCTAAAATGATCCAAGCCTAAATGTCAACAATACTTTATAATTAGGTTTCAAATTACCATAAATATTTGTTTTCTCAATAAGGAAGGAGGAGGGAGAATGAAGATGAGAAAATAAGGATCATATAGGATATAGCTAAAGAGTCAAATGTGTGATCTTAACTCTAATGGTTAAATCTTGTCTCCAACATTACGTCTGTCACTGAGACAGAGACAGATTGTCGGATTATTACAAATACGATATCACTTTCTACCGACAATAAAAAGTACAATATAAATTTATTGTCAAACCATTATGAATAACAAACACTGTTGTTAATAAGACAAATTAAAAAAATTGGCGAAAAGCTCGGAGTGTTAGGATCAAATAAGGATCATAGATAAGAATCAAATGTGTGACCTAACTCTAATGGTTAATTTTTCCTTACAACATTAACACTATTAGTGATAGATCAAAGACATCTTTTTTATCTTAAACCGTTACGCCTGTCACCAAGACAGATACATATTGTCGGATTGTTATAAATACGATATCACTTTCTACCGACAATAAAAAGTACAATATATATTTATTTAATCATCAAACAATTATGAATAACGAGAACCGTTATTAATACGACAAATTAATAAATCGGCGAGAAGCTCGGAGTGTCAGAAATCATTTCCAAACTTTCCGAAACTTCCATGCGGTCTCTAGTATCAAAATTTAATCTTTTTAACTTAAATTTTCAGTAACAAATACTTAAAATCAAAATATTTAACTTCTTTTTTTTTCTGTTCAATTCAAAAAATATTTAACTTTCTGAACTTCGGATTCTGATAGTAAAAACTGCAAAAGAGACAAATATTCTACAATTTCAAATTGTGTTTTTTTTTTCTTTTCTTTCTTTTGTTATTCTAGATTTCATAAAGCAAAGGTCCTTTGTTGTTTAGCTTAAATAGTTTTTAAACCCAGATTTTAATAATAAATTAGAAAGTGCAGTAATTGATAAACAACTAAGGTTCATTGTATCTTCCTCCTTCTTCTTCAATGCATTTCTAGAACTAGAAGAAGCGTTACTTAACCAAAAAAACTCATATATATAAAGTCTCCTTCTCTTGTCATCACAATTCACAAAGCATCAGTTTCTCCTTCTCCTTCTCCTTCTCCCACCTCTCGATCCTTCGGAGTTTCCAAAACAGGTGAAATCGAAACACACTCTTAATTTTGAGCTTCTCTGTTTGTGATTTCGTGGTTTTAGATCTTGGGTTTTTATAGTTTTCTATTGGAAATGCTTAGATGGGTTTGTTTAGTTCACAAAGATTTGTAATTTACAATGCTGGAGTTTTGAAATTAGACTCAAATTTGGGGATCACTACGGCATGGGTTCTTAGAAAGATTGAAACTTTTGCTTCATTGTGATTGAAAGATTCAAACTTTATGATTCTTTTGTGTGTTTTGCTTAATGGGTCTCTCTTGGTTTGGACTAATGATGAGTCTTCTTGCTCCTGTGCTATTAGGAATGTCCCGTGGAAGAGTTCCTATGAAGATGGAACTGAAACGTTATGATCTTGAACAACCTGTGTCTATACCGGCCTTGATTGATGATGATGATGATGATTTCTGGCCACTGAGTGAGATTGATACAAGAAAGTCGAAATTCCCGTGCTGTATTGTCTGGACTCCTCTCCCTGTTGTCTCTTGGTTGACTCCCTTCATTGGCCATATAGGACTTTGTAGAGAAGATGGAGTCATTTTGGACTTTGCTGGTTCTAACTTCATCAATGTAGATGATTTTGAATTTGGTCCTCCTGCTCGGTATCTCCAACTCGATCGAACCAAGGTATCGGTATTTGCTTTATGTGTTCAAATAGGATCTTGTTAAGCATGCATGGTTCATGAAACTGTGTTAGTTCTGCATCTAAAGATAAGACCTTTTTAATGTTATACTATGTTGTTCACTGTATCAAATGTTTGGGTTTGTTGCAGTGTTGTTTACCTCGAACCATGGGTGGCCACAGTTGCAAGTATGGATTCAGACACACTGAGCTTGGGTCATCAGTTACATGGGATGATGCACTGAGCATGACTACACGTAGCTTTGAGCATAAAAGCTACAACCTCTTCACCTGTAACTGCCATTCGTTTGTTGCACACTGTCTCAACCGTCTTTGCTATGGTGGCTCGATGGAGTGGAACATGGTGAATGTTACTATTCTGTTAATGCTGAAAGGGAAATGGATCAGTCCTTCATCAGTAGTCCGGTCATTTCTGCCATGTGCTTTCGTCACAAGTTTGGGGGTCGCGTTTGTCGGCTGGCCATTCCTGATCGGCCTTTCTTCGTTCTCGATTCTTCTCTTTGCCTGGTTCATAATTGCTACTTACTGTTTTAAGGACATCATTTGTTGAAGCAGTAAGGGAGAAATAAAAAAAAAATTATGTTAATCCTAAGTAATGTTCTCTTTTCCTAAGTAAATTATGTTAATCCTTAGTATGTTCTCTTTTCCTAAGTAAATTATGTTAATCCTAAGTAATGTTCTTTTGTCCTAAGTAAATTATGTTAATCCTAAGTAATGTTCTCTTTTCCTTTTAACACCATTAAGCTTTCAACTCCATTGAGCAGCCCTTATTTTTTTTTCTCTGTTGATTGATTCAGAGGTGGAGATGACAAAATTGAGTATGCTCGACGACATAATGAATTTAGAGTAGTTTTGACGACATAATGGACTATTACATTTATGTTAAGAGTTAAGTTACAATCAAACCCGGGTCTCCTGGTCAGCATTTATACGAATGACATGGTATATAGTATATACTACATGGGTTGTCACATACGTATGTAATAATCATCTTCGAATTGAGCTAATGAGATATTTTTGTATTGCATAAATTGATATATAGTGATTGTTGGTCTAGGTTTATAGTTATCGCTTCGGATGATGATTCGAAATCGATGGTATGCGGAAGATCTTCAGTGAGATTCAACCTCATGGGAATAACTACAATGGGTAAAGTGACAAATGATCAAGAGTTACACAGCCGGTGTGGTGTATTTCCGGAAACTTATATGAGTTCAAGTTAGTGAACGAAAATGGAAGAATATTTTAGGATCCTACTTGTTTAAAGACTCGAGTTCAAATTAGTGAACTATAATCATTTTTGTTATGCTAGCAAACTTGGATAGGAGGTTTATTGGTATAAATTATGTATTTTGTTTCTTTAGCGTAAGTTATGTATAAATTTATATAATTATACAGAAATTAAAAAAATATATATATCATTAGTTTAGTGAAGTTATATATTACTAGCCAAATAAACTCAATGATCCTTTTGGACGATATTACTATGGCGTTTCTCATAAATTATTTAGATAGATTATATATTTTCGATAATTAAAATAAGAGAAATACCCTAGATTGATACCTTTTTAGGTTTTTATTCTTAGTTTGACATACATGTTGTTATATCCTAAAACTAGCATTTACAAAATCAACACGGGGATTGCGTCGAAGAACGTTTGTTCAATGATGAAGCTTGCGTCTACGAACGAAGAAGCTTGCCTTGACGAATGATGAAGCTTGCGTCGACGTTCTCATCGGAACTTCAATTATGATGTCAGATTTTTCAATCCCGATATGAGAGCTAATTCAAATCAATCTCGTGAAGCTTCAGTCATGTTTTAAAGCAATAAGCAACAACCAACGGCGAGGCGAAGAGTCGAGGTGTTTAGTATGTCAAACAGACGGTGAGGCGAATCCAGACGAGCAGTTGAGGCGAATCTAGGTAAATAGTTGCAGCGAGTAGGTCAAACTTACCGGCGAGGCGATGAGTCGAGGAAGAAGAAGAGTCTGCTAATCGAAAAGAGATGCGAGGAGTTGAGGAAGGAAAAATGTGTCTGGGCTTGCTAATGGGCCCATTTTTTGCCAATTCAAATCTATTTTTCATTTTGTTTAATCTACTTATTGTAGGGCTAAAATAGTTTTTGTGCTAATTTTAGAATATTTGAGAGTGTATGCTAATTTTGGACTAAAAACTTAAAATTGTGCTAATTGTCAAAACTGCGCAATAACAACAGCTAGTATTTTTCAATTTATAAAAAGAATACACTTACAAAAACAGTGATATACAAACCATTTAAGTAATATGTTAATTTATTGTGCATTTGATTTATTAAAAAAAATATAAACCAAGTAGTGAGATATATGTCTTCTTAATTATCGTAACTTTTTTACTATCAAACAAGAATAAGTCCCATTATCTCCTTTTTTATTTAAAAAGAAAAGGTGGATAAACTTAATAAAATACAATTGTAGTGGACATGCATAACAAAAAATTTCGCAGTCCAAAATAATGTGTTGTCAAGCCGCCCATCAAATTCTTATATTGACGACCTTTAAGTTCTCAAGCCTCCTAGCAAATCTTATCGAAAATTTGAAGTAGTTATTGCTCGCGTTTCTTAAGCAGTACTTGATCCTGGCGATCCTATGAGCAATCACCGCCGACCTCTGGTCGACTATCCAAAGATCGACGAGCCACTCAGAGGCTTCATTGAGAGGTTTAAGAAGGTCGCCTTCCAGGTGAACGCCTCGAACAAATTATCGCTCTCAGCGTTGGAGCGCCCTCTAGTTCAAGTGCCGCTTCAGAGAGGACCTCACCCTCAATCAGTACGACACGCTCGAGGCTTTCCCAAAAATACCTGCTTCTCAAGCAGTCAACCGGGAAAACCAAAAAAGAATACACCAAACCCCGGCAGCACAACGATAAGGGCTATTTCGCAGATGCTCACAAGAAGCCGTCATCGTTGTATATGCTCAGCGATGCGGACCAAGAGCTTCAGCCAGCCATTCAGACTTTTCGACGAGTATTTTTCAAAAAAAATTATATTCTTGATTTTGAAGAAAAATTGTATATGTCATCTGATACTTTTTTTTTCTTGTGTTGTCGTGTTAAAAAAAAAACTTGCAAAATATTTTGAAAATGCATTGTTAGAGATATTAGTGAAAGCAACAACGTAAAATATTTATTTTCATTCAAAAAAATTGATTAGTAGAATATCTAATTTCCTGTGTATATCTTTTAATACTACAAATGTAAGTTTTTCACATTTTTAGTAAAGAAATTTCAACAATTTTATAGTAAAATTGAAACAATTTCACATATTGTACACAATAAAACACATGGTAAGATGATAAATTTCAAATAAACAATCTAAGGAAAAACATTTTGATTATTATTCTCATCGCTCTAAAAAAAGAGAGACTAGACCAAATTATCAACAAGAAATATCTACTAAAGTTAAATAATATTTTCAACACACTTATTTTCTAGAAATTCTCTATACCATGTTTGATTTTGCTAATATTTGGGGATATATATTATCCGAAATTATTTCAGCAATTGCCAAAAAAATGGACATATTTCAGCAAAATTAAATATATAAGCAATGTAAGTCTTTTTTCATGTGGATCATTTTAATTCATTCTAAGAAAAAAAATAGTTTTACCGTATATAGGATAATGTATATGTAATTTCATCAATGGGTTTAATGTGAAATAAATATGTAAGCTTGAGCGTGTATAGTGGTTCCTTTAATATTATCATTAATCATGTTTCACACACATAATATGTTTCCTACACATAATATGTTACCTTGAACCACGTTTTCTCGGAATTCCAACATTAGGATTTCATATTTTCTAATTGATAAATGTGTGTTGTTTATAGTTTAGTAATAATTTATATAACTTTATTTCAAAACTTTTTTAAGAAGAGATTATATAAATAATAGATAGAGTTGTCGCGGAAGAACAACAAAAATGGTATTAACAATGAAGAATCATGAACTTTCAAATTTTGGACATTTAAATCACGAACTTTCTATGTGGTCATTTAAAGCATTAATTATTTGTGTACTTAGTTTTTAAACCATCATCTTTCGTTAACAAAACCAATTTGTACATCATATCCAAAAATTTGTTACAAAACAACTAACAAACATATAGCCATCACTAATTCATCTCTATTAGTAAGAGACGACGTCGTTTAAGGCTAAAACAAAGTGAGAAAGTAGGGATTTGATTTTTGGATTATGACGTTAAAATCACGATTTTGAGATATCGTTTTAGCATTAAACGACGTTTTTTTTCACTTACAAATATGATTAACGATGGTTAGCTGCTTTGTCAACGAATTTGAGGATATGGTGTTCATTTCGGCCTGGTCAACGAAAGATAATGTTTTAAAAACTAAGTTAACGAAAAGTTCATGTTTTGAATAGCCATATAGAAAGTTTGTGATTTAAATGGCCAAAATTTGAAAGTTCGTGATTTAACTGACATTTTTCCCAATCAAAAATTGTGAAAATTAAGGTTTTTGCAGTTCACTCACTCGCATGACTGTCGTCAGCTATGTGTTTTTGTTTGGTAAAAAAAGTAGTTTGTTTTTATTTCTCATAAATTCCAATAGTGTTAAAACTTGAAAGTGATGGTACAAGTAAAACAAATCTTAAGTATAGTGTTCTCTTCTACCTAAAATGTTATGTTGTGAGAGAGAGACTTCAGGAAAAGTAAAAAACATCATAGGAATTTCAGAAACCTATCCAAACCAACACCAGTCACTGTTTGGTTGCAAGCTGCCAAATCTTGACCATCCCATCATCACTGGCCGAGGCAAGCAACCGTTCGCCCTCCTGTAACAACATAAGTTGAGTAAATGTAAGTTGAGTAAATGAAGTTGAGTAATGAATGACACCATCTCTCTGACACTAAGACAGAGCATCAGTATTGTGTTCTAATAACTAAGTTACATTTATAAGATGCCGTATAGACTAGTTTATCATTTCAACCATGTATCAAGTATGAAATAGTATGCATTTGGAAACATGGAACTTACACCGGGTGACCATTGGACACAGTTTACATCATTGTCATGTGCTTTATTTTTCTTCAGCAAAAGATTATAGGAAGGTCCATCAACCTGGTACACAAACAAATGACTTTTAGTTCAAAGATGAAGCAGAATTGTTTAATTGTATAGTGGTTAACCATTGGCACGACTAGGAAAACTATAATCATCTGGTTTCTTGTTTTGTGCTATGTAAGTTGGGCGAAAGATACAGCCAAATTTCTACTTAAGAAGTAAAATGGATATTAGTTTGGAAGTGAAGTACAAGATGAAATTATCTTACAGAGTCATGTTTGCTCTCCACAAACAACCGTATAGCATCATCGCCTGCTCCACTGACAATAATGTCATCCCTGTCAAAATTTTGAAAGAAAGACAAGAAAACAAAACTTAAGAAAATCCAGAAGATATATAGTAAACTTCTGGGATTTTAATCTGAGTGTGGTCTCATGAGAGAACATTGGGGAAGAAGACAATCTAGCTTATTAAAATGGTACGAAAATCCCTAATCCGGATACATTTGATCAGATAACTGGGAGTGCAATTATCAGGCACAACAAGAGTGTTTTCTTTAGGCTGGCAGAGTTAAAAACTATGAATTTACGAGTGTTACACCATGCTTTACAGAAACTAAACCCCTACAAGGTGTCAATACCTTGACCAGTGAGCTGAGTATATGGTACGGTCATGATAACCAGAGAGTGTACAAAGATGAGTCCTGCAAAATCCAAGCAAGTAAGGATTACATTAGTAAAAGTTGAAGGAAAAATTCCTTGGAGAAGTTACAGAATCTTGTAGGCTGTTTATTATGTCAAGCTCGAAACGGTAACAACAAACAAATTCAGTTACATGTAAACCATTTTATTCTCACCAAGGTGCATATTCTTCACCAGACTGCATTTTGGTAATATCAGTCCCCCATATCTTCAAGGTTCGATCATCACTGCAAGTACACATTCAGGCAAGCCTGCTATGGTCAGAACAATAACCCAGATACAGATTACATTGCTTGTATATGGGAAGATTCACTAACCTACAAGTAACCATTTTGTCCCCTGCAGCATTAAACGAGATGGACCAAACAGTAGAGGAGTGACCGCTGTGTGAAGAATAAAAGCACATATTAATCTACTATAACAAGAGCCTAATAAAAAAAAAAATCGAAAGCATATAAAAAACACAAGAGTAGAAGATATACTTGTTAGATTCACCTAAGGTTTGGGCACATTGATACTCACCATCATCATCTTCAGACCACCAAACCTGTTAGTATTAAGTGATACCGTTGATAAATATAAATCTTTTTTCAGTTTTTTGTGTAACAAGTTTCAAGTTCTGCATCACTAAACCCACTCATAGTATTCTCATTACCTTGATGGTATTATCATAACTGCAAGAAAATAAAACATCCATGGTGGGATGCCACTGAACCATCTTCACATCTTGTGAATGCTCACTTAATACCGCAGCACAGTCATATTCATTCCCTTCAAGCACTTCCCATATCCAGACAGACCTATCTCTACTACATGTTGCAAGCAATGAACCAGATGCATTCCATGATACACTTTTGACTTCGTTTTCATGTCCCTGTATACAGTTATCTAATTAGATTCTACTAGCCAAAAACATGTCCTACAAAGCATAAAGACACAAGTAAAACCACAGAAAATTTTGAGCATAATGAGTACTGCATTATGAAGTAAAGCTGAAAAATTCATGAGACTAATAGTAGTAACTCTGATAAGTCAAGGGAGGATCTAGATAACGGAACAAAGATTTTCAAAGGAGTTGGGTTGCTACAAGAGGAGCTCAGCATTATAGATCAAGTAAGAACAAAGTCAAAAGAGCAAAAAGGCGCTGTCATACACTAGTGATGCTTTCAGGTTATCACACTAACTATAACTACAGATCAAGTAAGCACAAAGTCAAAGGAGCAAAAAGGATAGATCAAGCAATTATAGGTATTGATGGAACAACAACAACTACAAGTCAAGGATTCAGCTAGAAAGTACCTCCAAAGTAGAAATACACTCAAACTCAGATCCGTAATTCTTCCAAATGCCAGTGGTACCATCAAAACTTGCAGTGGCCAATAACTGTCCTGAGGGTGACCAAGCACACGACCTCACAGTTCTTGTATGCGTTTCTTCCAGTACTGTCTGAGCATTCATAATATACAATGTTAAATTCATACAATCAACAAAGCTTTCATGATATGAACTAGACACAACAGTGGTTACCAAAAACCATCCTACACCAAATCCGATTCACTAGTCTACTCCAAATTCAAAGTAAAGTTAACCCCTTTATAGAATCAGAACAAAACCCACAAATTCTAATGTAAAACTAACCTAAAGAATCAACAAAGCTTTCATAGTATGAACTACACACAACAGTGGTAAACACCATATCCAATTCACTAGTCTACTCAAATTTCAAAGCCAAGTTAACCCCTTTATAGAATCAGAACAAAACCCACAAATTCTAATGTAAAACTAACCTAAAGAATCAACAAAGCTTTCATAATTTGAACAACACACAACAGTGGTCAACACCATATCCAATCCACTAGTCTACTCCAAGTTCAAGGCCAAGTTAGCCCCTTTATAGAATCAGAACAAAACCCACAAATTCTAATGTAAAACTAACCTAAAGAATCAATAGTGCAAATTGAATCTAAAAGGTTAGAACTTTCTTGCAAGAAAGAGAAAGAGAGACCTTGCAGGACCATGAGCGAGAGAGGGAGCTTTGTTCCCAGATTCGAACGGTGTTATCGCCACTGCAAGAAGCAAGAATCGGTGAAACACCATCGGCGTTAGAGGAGACTGGGTTCCAAGCTACGCTCCAAACCCGATCGGTGTGACCTTCGAGCTTCTGATTCTCCACTAACTCCAAGTTCTTTTCCATTAAATCCATCTATCTAATCAAACCTATGAGCAATTCCAGAATGGTTCTGTGGGAAAGGAGTAAACTTTTAAGGCTGACTAGAAAAAAACCTACGAGAAGGAGCCATGAAATTAAAATATGACTCTAAAAGCAAACTAGAGGGGTTATTTGATAATTAAAGAAAATATTGAGCCACAACACCATTTTTTTTTTTTGCTAAACATGTAAATTTCATTAAAATGAAGGTAATAGAGCAGTCAAGTTAAAAAAAATACAACTAGGTTACGATATAATTAGGAAAGATTAGGGCTAACGAATCCAAAAGAGCATAAGCTTTTGCAAGCGCTTCCTTAACCCTCTCGAGAAGATGATGTTGCGAACTTCACGGTCGACCAGCTTAAAGACTAATTGAGGAGACACCCTCATGGAGTTGTGCAAAATGTTGTTACGTTGACGCCAAATATTGTAGATGATCGCTTAAGCAGTTATTTTTTGGAGTAGAGATGGAGTAGCCACAACACTATTTTACACATATTTTATTTTTCTTAGGTTTTTCATTTTAAGGAAATTTTCAAATGTTTTAAAAAAGAAAATTTCGTTACTTTTTAAATCGTCATATTTGTATGTAGTTGATAATTTTGGTTATGCTAATTAAGTAGCTAGCGTTTGAGATAAATTTGAAAGAAAACAAGAGAATATTGCGAATTTGACACCGTTTTACACTTCTTTTCTTTCTTTCTTTTTTTTTAATCCAAGATTTGATTTTTTGAAGTAATTTTTCAAGAAAATTTAATTCAACGTGTCAATTTTAAAACTTACCTTTGTCTCATTTTCTCTGGAAAAATTAATCAAAAGCATTAATTATGGAAAGTGAGAGGACAAAATGATGGACAATAAATTGAGTGGAAAACAAGAATTTTAATCGATAAACAATAAAAATGACGGACAATAAACAAAAAAAATCAGATGAACAAATAAATGAGGTATCTAGTAGGACTTTTAATGTTGTCCTCCGTGAATTCAACACTTATTTACCGACCGCTTAGTGAATTTCAAAGATGGACAATATATTTAGCACGAAGATATTGTCCACGAATGAAATTAAATTAAATTTGGTTCATCGATAAAATTGTCCACTAGATTTGGTCCATGGAATAATATCTGATTTGGCATTCGACAGTAATGTCATCCTCTAGTTGATAACTTATGGCCACCGACTAGTTAAAAGATCTACATGATGGACAATAAGTTCAATGAAAACATAGACATAGTAATGCCACCAGATCTGGTCCATCAAAACCACAATGAATGGAGAATAGAGAACATAGTTAACAATAATATGTTGTGCATAAATGACGACAGACTAAATTCGGTCGATCGATAAAATGTCCACTAAATCTAGTCCATTAAGTAATGTTTTTTTATGTCAAGTGGATGTTGTTATGTAGGTCTATATACTATTCATCATCAACTCGTATTAAGTAAGAGTGTAGCCAAGAAGAATAAGGATGCATTGAAGATTAAAAAAAAAAAAAGATAAAACATTCGAGCTGTGAAAAAACTGATGGCGCTATTGAGGTAGTGGTTTTAGTCAACGACACAACGCGAACACTCTAAGCGATAAGGCGGAAACAACCCAACATTGAAAACTTTTTTTGAGTCCTCATTCTCGGTGAAGGGAGATCGCTTCGTGTAGAATATAAGTGTTTAGTTCGCCTTCATAAAATTAGATTCCACTCCATAGATATTTTTTCAGGTACCAACTCTTTGAGAAATGAGTTCATTTCAGTGGAATCTAAGTGTTGAGTTCGCTCATCGCGAAGTTAGATTCTACCTCCCAACAATTTCATTCGCTCTCTCAAAGGTTCAATCAAGGTCATAGACAATTTTTAGGCGATCTAACAAAAGACAATCAAATTCATGAAGAAAAAAGTCAAGGTACCAATGGAGTTAGCATGAGTTAACGTGTGCCATAACTCAAGTTCAGTAGCAAAATCTTTTAATCTCGAGAGAGAAAGAAGAGCGTAATCATAGAAAATGCATGACGTGAGGGTTATGAAGAGATTCACATGATAAGCTAAACGAAGTGGCATCTCAACATGAAGTGGCGTCAAAAAGTGGTGTGACGTCTAATACCGAAGCGGCGTCTAATGGCAAAGTGGCTTCTAATATCGAAGTGGCGTCAAATGCCAAAGTGGCCTCTAGAGAAAAGTAGCTAAGACTGGCAAACTCCAAACAAATAAGTAGAAAGCTAGAAAATTTGTGGAGAAAAGATCCCACATCGGAAGATTTGAGGGGACTTCAGTAATATATAAGGGATTAGGGCCAATCCACTCATTGCCAATTGGTTTTGAGTTGGAACCCCATAACAAATCCTAATTTAACATGGTATCAGAGCCCGAACACACGCTGACCCATTAATTAATCCGGCCCGGAAAGAGGCCTGATCACCCCATTAATTGATGGCCCAAAAGAAGGCCCAATTCCATTGAGATAGCTAGAAGAGCATTATCTCGAGGGGGCGTGATGGATTCTGTCGAGATTAATGGCTAAAAGAGCCATTATCTCGAGGGGGCGTGTGGAGAAAAGATCCCACATCGGAAGATGTGAGGGGACTTCAGTAATATATAAGGGATTAGGGCCAATCCACTCATTGCCAATTGGTTTTGAGTTGGAAGCCCATAACAAATCCTAATTTAACAAAATTGAATATCATCAAACACAAAGTAGAGAGCAAGCTGATTATATTTTTCATATGCCAATCAGAACCAGCTTATCAACAACAACGGTCAACAATGTATACCCGCGTCGGGGATGTCTAATTTCTACAAACCAAAGAAAACCATGTCCATGATGATGATGCGGTAAAGATGGCCCGAGACAATGATGAAACATTGAAAATATGAAGTGCAACAATCTCGTAGCACATTTTATCCAAGTCATGACTATGCCTTAACAAATCCAAAGTTCTAGAGATGAATTCTAAACTACAACGGTTAAATGACGAGAAGAACACAAATATGCTGAATCTAGCGAAGGTCTTTCTTAGTTCTAGCTCCCGGAGAATGAGTTCACTTAGATGGAATCTAAAGTGTCGAGTTTTCTCTCCACAAAATCAGATTCTACTTTGTGAAGATTCTTCCAGTTTCCAAATCAAGGACAAATAAGTTCCCTTTGGTGGAATCTAAGTGTTGAGTTCACTTTAAGATAATTAGATACCAACTCACAAAAAATTCATTCACTCTCCCTTAGAGCTGACATCATTTCGTCAATCTATATTCAAACAAACTCAACTTTGAGTTGTTCGGTTCGAATAGTCGATAGATGTCGTAACTCTTCGAAACACGTGCTATTTCACACAAGTACATAAAGCCGAGTTCAATCCTCGCACCAAATACCATGATCGAACTGACGAGATCGAGTCATAAAATGAAACTAATCCTCTTGGACACCAATTCCAAAGCCAAGCTCCATCCTTGTATTTACCAAGGTTAACTATACAAAATTTTCCTTTAAAAATGGTAAAGGGCATGATCAACCCATCTTCTCTCTTGAAAACAGCTTGACCAAGAGTTCTAAACCAATTGGACTTTGCAAACCCAACACAATTGTTCAAATATATACCATCAAAGACAAACAACTCGAGTATCAAAATCTAAAAAGTCCCTCGGGCAACCTGAAGTTAGAGGCCTCATTAGGCAACAAAAAAATAATAATACCATAAACCCAAGAGGCACTCCTTTAGGTGCTTAACATGTATTGTAAATTTTCAATTTTGCTCAAAACTCGGAAGGAGCATCTCCAAATTACGATATATCCACCAAGTTCGTTTTATAGTTAATCAATCCGAGCTTAGCTCATTGCGCATCTACTGGTCTCACTTCACAATCACAATCACAATCCTCTGAATGGCGTGTTTTTCATGTTCAACTCTCAACTACTTAATCCAACATCATATCCGGTACAATTACAAAAATATTAGTTTTCTGAGCATGTCCACTTACGCGAATAACTGGGGGACTAATGTTGGGACCATAATCCCCTCCCTGTGGATCATGTCTAGTTACACCAAAGGCCCATTAACTTAGAACCCAAGAAGGTCCATGTTGCATAAATGGGATGGTCAAGTGTTGGCATTAATGTGTGATTTAATTCATGAATTAATTTCTATATTCAAAGGAGTAAAACTTATCTTTAATGTCTCTAAATTAATTATGGGAGTTGTTATGTGAGTTAATTTTTAGGTCCACTACCTAAAGAAGGAGAACATGAGTCGTCAGCGGTACCAGGAGAAGAGCAGTTCGGTACCAAAGTGATTCATCTCAAAGGGTTCTCCAGGAAATCGAGAGAGTTGAAGAATAGTTCAAGCAGCGGAGTGATACAGCTCAAGGAGCACTGCAAGGGTCCGGGAAGAACATGAAATCTGTAAGAGCTCGAGAAATCAAGATGGACAACAATGGGCTTACGGGAAGAAATCCCAAAACGAGATCAAGTCAAGTCAAAGTCAAGACGTCATCGAGTAAATACATCATTAAACCGGAGAAAATAATTAAGACTCAAAGGATTAAATGGCCAAATAAAGACATCCAAGGGAAAAGGAAGAGACTATAAAAGAGTTGTGAAGGCCTTAGATTAATGGGGCTAGTTTTTGATACTTTCTTCACCACAATTTCGACACAAATACTAATGTTTCCAATAATAATATTAAATACTCTTTCTTCTTTCTATTCGATAAGATCTTTGAGCAATATCAATATTATTCATATTTTCCCTCTTTATTTTTTATATATATTTTACACACAAAGTTTGCTAAGGAATTTTGAAAGTGATTGTTGGTTTAGAACTTAGTCAATTTAAGTTTACTGCGAGTGATGATATATAGGTAACATATAACATCCTGAACCCAAACTAAGTTAGGTGTCGATCAACACCAAAGGGGTGTATGGCCTAGTAGATGGAAATATGGTCTAACGGAGTATATGTTATAATACTCACACATCTCTTTTCTGTTTTGGTGTAGGTAAAGATAACGTGTTATCATGGAATCAGAGTGAGAGAGAGGATGATCTAGGATCTCGAGAGTTTTTGGGTGTTATTTATTTCCGTTGCAGTTATGGATTAAAAGTATGTTTAGGATGCTGGTTAAATTGTTGGTTTATTGTTTTACTGGTTACATGATAATTACTTTAAGGAGATTGGATTGTATGAGAATTGGATTGTTGGTTATTGTAGTTTACTGATAATTGTTAAGTAAAGTAATAAGGGATGCTTAATTATGATTTGAATTATTAAAAAAGGGTCGGTTTGTTTCATAATATAATATCTTTCACAACCATTCCTTCTTTCCATAAGCCATCATTATAGGCAACATAATATATTGGCTGGAATATTTCTTACAAGTTTTCTTGTCTTTCATAGAAAATTCTGATAAGTAATCAAAAAATTACGAGATTAGGAAATTAGGAAATTTAGGACCAAAAAATTTAAGTTTCATACACTTACGAGATTAGGAAATTTAGGACCAAAAAATTTAAGATGTAGTCAAAGATTATGGGTTGAGGTTATAAACAAGTTTAGGTCATTGTCAAGTAGCGGTTCCAAAGGGATTCACTATGAAGAGGTGAAGCTCAACAAGTAAGGGCTTTAGGCGCCAAAATTATATTACTATTTGAGAACATTAATTTATGAAAAGTTAATAGTTAATGTATCTATAATATATTTTTAAAATTAATACTTTTAAATTAATATTTTTCCATTTAATTTAATAGCATGGCTAGTTTTATTTACTTAGAAGTTAGAACGCAAAGTTAATACTATTTAATGTACTTTAAAATATACATCATGATTCACATTAAATAAATAAAAGAAGTCATATAATTTAAGTTGTATTGATGTGATCATATTGCTAGTGTCATCATGATATTATTTACATTTATTTTATTTAAAATAAATGTGTTTTTAATAAAGATTTGCTTAATCATTTTGACTAGTGATGCTACTGTATTATATTTTAATTGAAGATATATAAGTTGTTTAATATTTTATTATCCCCATGATGACTAATGGTAAAATTTCAGTTTTTTCTATATAAATATAAATTTTGTTAAAAATTATATATTTAATAATGGAATATTTCAAAGAAAAGACACTTTTTGAAAACTTATAACATAAAAAGACATTTCCAAAACTTTCAACTATAGTGAAAATATAGGTCCAGCATGGCCTTGTTTTATATTCGTAATCACCATTCTGCCACTCCATCATTTCTAACTAAATAGTTAGACATTACTTTTTATTTTTTCTTTTTCCTTTTTTTCTCTTGTACGTGGGCCTATCCCCTTTACGTTACAATTTGTACTTTCTTTGTATGTTATAACTCTATAACTTATATAGATTTCATTATTATTTGTACTTCTTTGTATGTATATGTTTCTTTATTTAGTGTTGATATATCGTTTTCACCATACTAACAGATTTAAACTCTTTAAAACTCTATATACGAACAGAAAAAAATATCTTTAGGTTTTATTTAGTTTTGCTTTTTTACTAAATACCAACAAATTATTCTGAAATTTAATTTCTCAAAGTTTTAAAAACTAACGAATAAAGTTTTTTTGAATTCGTCTTTGTTTTTCCATGGTTGGATGAGGATTACTTGTCCATAGTTCTGCGTACACTCGGTCGAGTATGTTAACGGAACAATCTGTACCACGTCCAGATACACATATCCATATCCAACCCTTTTATACAAACGAATCTATAATTAATTCTCGAAAAATTGCCTTTGCTTTTCCATCTTTGGAAGATGGACGAGGAGTACCTGTCCATAGTTTTGCGTACAATCGGTCAAGTATATATAGCATAACAAACCGTACTACGTCCAGACAAACATATCCATATGGATAATAATCGCTTATCCAAGAGAACATGAGATTCTTAAGATTGATTGGAAACATTATTTGGACAGAATACATCATTAGTATCCAGAAAACCTCATCCACATGATCACAAAGAGCATCATCACTACCGATACAGATCTGTAACAACGAACAAAAAAAGACAAAAAACGAAAAAACTCAAAAGCACTAACTCAAGACGTACAAGAAACAAGAATGAGGACTCTTTAAAAAGAACCAAGAATGAGGTCCTCTTTGAAAAGAACCAAAAATGAGGACTCTTTTCACTAACCCAGATTTCTACTAACACATGACGTACAAGAACGAAAGTTAAAGTTGTGTTCTCGAACAAAAAAATATTAAAAACTCATATATTTGCTTTTGTAATATGCAACAAGATCCATTATTAATGGTTACAACAAACTAAACTAACTTAAACTAAACTAACGAAATCTAACATCACTTATCCAGCCAGTTAACTTTATTGGGGCACAATGGTCATTTTTTGGACATGTGGCCTGCTTATATTGTGTGTTTTTGTTATATCTTCTTCAGAAAGTGCCTTATTGTGTAAATCACCCTTTAATAATTAGTTATCTTATTTTGAATTGTGACACATTGACAGTTTTGTAATATCTAAAAAAGAATTTGTAAGAAAATTCAATATTTAATAATTAGTTATCTTACTTTGACTAGTGGTTGTGCTGTAATATTTATATCTAAAGTGAACAAAAGTTATATTAATAGTTATCTTCGCTTAGTGTCAGGCGCCGCATTATCAGATGAGATAAAACCAAATTATTTGTGTGATTTGTTGAAAAGAAAATTTATGAGAAAATATTATTTATAGATTTTATTCTTTAACTCATATAAAAGTAATAAAAAGTGGTTTTTGTATCTTTTCTTTGTATCTGAGAATTTTGTCTAGTTAGTATAAAATGTTTTCTTAATTATTTCTAGCTGATTTACTTTCAACTTTTGAAATTCAAGTCACAAGAAATCAATGATTTTTTTACCTTTCAATCTTATACATTTGTATTTACTTGTTAAATGTCACTTTCTTTTTTGCTAAGAAAAGTAGAAAAGTGAACTTAAAACAAAGTATTTGGATCAAAATGAGTTAGACATGCTTTAAGAGTAGCTTATAAAAGACATAGAAATCATAGAAATATGCAATCAGAATCAAATTACAATCTTCAACTCTTTGAGACAAAAATCCATTGTTTTGATTTTCCTTTGAAGATCAAGAAATTATTCGGTCAAGTAATTTCTCCCTTTTGTTAGATATGTGGCTGAATTTATTCTTTTTCATGAGTCTCAGATTAATCTCATTGATCTATTCAAAATTAGGGAGGATACATATGGATTTCAAATTCTAGAGTTTGGTTGAACACTATTTTCACATATAATGGGGAAAATTGGTTATCAACAACATGAATTTTGCACATGTGACTTAGTTTTATTCACTATAAGATTTTAAAATGTTTATTTTAATCATATTGATAACTATTTTGTGATAATTCGGCTAGTATGTTTGTTGTTTAGTCTATATGCTTTCTCAGCAATATATGTCCTTGAATTACTATATGCACGATTTATCGAGTACTAATCATTTTTTCAACTTTGAGTTTTAGGCCATGAATGGATGCTAGTTTTTAATTCAGATTTTGGATTTGGTTTTTAGTTTTTAAATTTTAGATTTTAGTTTTAGATTTTTCCATTAGGTTTTTGGTTTTTGGAAAAAATATAACGTAGTATGGATAAAAACTAGATTCCCTAAATTATAGGAGACTTAAAAATCAAAAATCTTGAATGGGAGATTATAACATGAAAGTTTTACAAAATTTTAGGGAATCCAAAAGTTTTAAATATTGATTAGTTAAAAATGAGTTTTTGGAAGAAAAAAAAACCAAAATCTCTTTCAAAATCTACAAAACATTCAAGGCCTTAATCAAATGTGGATCCCACAATCTTCATTAATGAAACAATCTAATAAAAACATAAATTTTATATTAAATGGATAGTTTAATTATCATTTTCTTGATTATTGTTATCTCTTATTTGGATTTTTATTTCATTTTTATTGCTTATTTAATTTGAATGCGTGTCGTTTTTGATTGATGTAGGAATCAACAAAAGAGATGCCTAAAGAAAATCTTATAATGTGTGAGTCAAGCAACAGGGTTAGAGTATCGCCATACCCGCTTCGCTCATCTAGGAGCAAAAAACAGCAGACATCTGAGTCACCTATTGAGAGTGGATGGGAGGATGTGCGGTGTGTGATATGCATGGAACCGCCTCACAATGCTATTCGTTTGACATGCTCTTCCTTTTCGAGTGGATGTCGTCCTTACATGTGTGATACGAGTGTTCGTCACTCCAACTGTTTTAAGTTGTTCCAAAAAAACAACAGAAAAAATCGTCTAACCCCCAAGACCTTACACTGCCCTTTATGTAGAGGCGAAGTCTCTCATACGACAAAGGTGATGAAAACTGCAAGAAGATTCATGAATGCTAAACCAAGGTCATGCCCTGTGGACAACTGTGATTTTTTTGGGACATATACTCAACTTAATAAGCACTTGAGAACTGAGCATCGTGGCTGTATCCCACAAAAAGTCGATCAACAAAGACAACCAAGGTGGGAAATGTTTGAGAGACAAACTGAATACCTTGACCTCATGACTGCAGCTGAGATTCCTCATACGCCCGCGGTGGTGCCTCAACAGCTTCCCTACAATTATCATCCTCCCTACAATCAAGCTCATGTGTTTCAGATCATCGTTAACGGAGCTGTGTGGAATGTTATTGATTCGACTCAAGGAAGGAGCGGATTTGCCCCCGCCAACTATGCTACAATGCATTTTCAACCAATAAGTGTGTATCGCAGTGGGATTCCGTGAATAATTCCAAATTGTGTAGTGAAAAAATCTAGATTCTATGAATAACTCTAAATAAAAATTTGTGTAAAGTGTTGATTTTTCAATAACTATTTACTTGATCAGTTTGGATGCATAATGTTTAGTATTATAATATTTAGGTTGCATTCAAACAATACCATTGTTCTCAAGTTCATATCATATGTTCCAGAGTAGGCTTGGGCAAATTTACCCTATAAAACAAAGTTGAACTAGATCCATACCAAATTAAGAGGAACCAAATCAAACTGAATAATAATAGAAAATCTTGACATATCTTTAACGTTTCTATCTGAATTTCCCGAATCCATAAACAAACACACACACAAAATATAGAAAAGAAAATAATATATAAATAAATAATAATTATTTATAATAGTATACGTAATATACTCGATATAATAAGAGATTTCTGAAAATCATTAGTTATATGAAACCACAAAACCCATTTCGTTAATTTTTAATCCATTATTTAATAGTCTCATACCTACAAATTGACCTAACCGGATTAAACCATCAAGCAACCAGCGAAAACCAATAATAAAATCAATCCAATAAAATAATGAACCAACAATTATCCCAAGAAAATCCAGCAATCCTAACATGTTTCTAATTTACATGGTTCCAAAAATTATTAAACAAAACACAAGCAACACTCACTAGCCCTAGATCATTGCCCTCGTCCTTCCCTTGATTCCACGATCACACTTTTTCTTTACTTGCATCACAAACACAATGAGATGCGTAAGTATTTCAAAAACACTGAGTGAAGCGATCCTCCCATCTATTGGGCTATAAAAACAAGCACTTTGGATCACTCTCTATCTCTCATCTTTTCATAAACTTTTCCTTAGTGTCGATCGACACTCGTCCAAAACACGGGCACAGGCGTTTCATTATGGTTTAAAAATTAAACAATTATAGAAAGATATACTTCATTTTGTTAAATTAATCCAGCTTTTTAATAAATTTTTGGAACCGAATCAGCACAGACCTCAGAGACGTAATCTTCAGTGATCGCAATTGGTAATAGACCGGCAGGCGTAGCTAATGGTTCTTGGTTTCGTGGTTTGCTTGTTTAGTTTGCCTCACTCAGTATTTTTGGTAATATTTTCGCATTTTTTTTCTTGTGGTGTAGGTAAAGGCAAAGTGTGATTGTGGGATCATGGTAATGATGAGAAGAGTGATCTAAGAATTTGTTGGTTGTTTGTTTATTTGTTATGGCTTTGTTAGGATGATAATTTTGGAATCATGGTTGATTAGAACATTTAGGTTGTTGGTTAAACTATTATTGTTTCATGAAAATTGTTGGTATATGATTTATGACAATTATTTTGTTTCTACTAGTATTTGTTGTCGGTTTGATGGCATGTTTAATCGGAGCAATTGATTAGTATAGGGTTATTAATTGATTGATTTTATTATTATTTCTAAACGGGTAGGGTTGTTTCAATTGTGTCCTCACCTATAGATAGCTACTGATTGCTTTTCTTTCACTTGCCATCACTAAAATTTAACCCCTTAGCCTCTCAACATTGTCTCTTTAGTCTCCTCTTTCTCTCTGGATCAAGTAACCAATTCAAACTCTCACTTTTCTCTTCTGGATCATAGTTATCATAATATTAATCTTTCCACTATATATGTATTGTATAAGTTGGAAAAGGGAAGTGAAAGTGAGTGAAATTACTAAGCTTATACCATTAGCTTGCTTTCACTGTCTATGTTCTCTCTTTTAATTATCCAATATACATATATCTATACTAGCATGAGTTTGTAATTTTTTACAGTTTTTTGGCAAATTATTACATAAAATGAATTAGTCTCAAAACCATTTAAAATTTTTCTACGGTAAAAATGTATATTAAATCTTTTAATAATAGTTCTTTCTCTTTATTATCCGATATATTTAGAATCCAGACATTTCCACACCCACCAAGTTTCGATGAAATGTCTGAACCAACTATTTTTTTTTTTTTTCTGAACCAACTATTTCTAGAGACTTACATGCTAGCCTAAGAGATTAGTTTTCTAGAGTGTTTATTGACTGTAATTAACTAAATTTTAATGCTTGTTTATTCATAATTGATCTTAGAGATTTGAGTTTAAAATGATTAAGCTTGATAGTTTATGCCAAAAGATTGGATTAACTAGGTTTAGTAGTTCATCGGTGGATGAACCCTCAAGTATCTTTATCCCAAAGTGCAACGAGGAGCTATTTGGTATATTAAATGTTAATTTATATTTAAGATTGGATTATGTTACTTATTTATGTTATTACCAGTTTCAAATTGTAGGTTTAAGCGTGATCTGTATGGTGTAATTACAAAGTCTATTTTGAGAATGCAAAAAAACAGATGTCAAACCTGCTGTCTTGACATATCGTAGTCTTCCCAATGAGACTAAAGAACGATGGTTAAGCTTTTGTGGTAAGATTAATTATATAATATATGTTTTGATACACTTCATGTTTTTAATAATTATGCACGTAATTATGTTTTGAATTACAAGAACGTGAAATCTTAGTTAAAGAAAATGAAGAAAATGATGCACGTAACACAAGTAATTCATCTAACATGTTGGAGAATGCTGGCCACTGATGGTTTTGCACCATTGCGATGAGCTGGGCACAATCTGATTCAAAAGTATGACAGTCAATCCTTCTTATAGGAATACTCTCCATAACTCATATAAGTGCTTCCAATTCTGAGTGGAGTGGTGAGAGACATCCTCTAAGACACTTAGCACCTAGTAGAAACGTCTGCTCTTCTCCCCTGAAGCACCACCATCCCAAGCCAGTAGAAGGATCCCCGACTTCCACGAACCATTGATTCGACATCAAAGGATTGGCGAAGGAGTAGATATATCTTCTATTGGTTCAATTACTTTAGCCGGTATTATTTGGGCCTCTTCCCATACTAATTTTTCACTTAGAGCCTGATTAATAATATCTATCGGTTCTCACTGAATTCATTGGAACACATTTCCTTTACCTACATCGCATAAAGAGATGCATAAGTATTTCCATAAATACTTAGTGAGACACTCATCCCAACTATTGGGCTATACACACAAGCAGCATTAATCATCATCAAGTAAAACAATCACAAACAAACATTTAACACACCTAAACGTCACTGATGACGATCAATGTCGATCGACACCCGCACTCAACACACATGGTCGACACCGAGCTCGATACTCCACTGGCGAGTCGCAACTATCCTCGCCGAACAAATCATTGGTGTCGAGCGACACCCACCACTGGTGTCGATTGACACCGACACTCTGCAGTCGCTCCAGTTGCATTTTTCATAGGATCTCCGCTTCTAATCACTCCAAAGTCGAAGGCGAATCTCCATGGGTTTCCACATGAACCATATAACACAAAAATAACCAAGCAAGCAAAGAAATCAATCAAACAATCATCAAAACATTCAAAACAATGATCAAATTGCTTAGATAAGTCTTGGTCATGCACTCACTTCTTTAGAAGGGATGAACAACAACAAAACAAGAGAGAACAAGCAAGGATCTGACTCTTCTAACACTAACAATCACGGATCTAGCCTCCTCTAGTCTTAACCAGCAAGAACAAGTCTCTAAGCTTCACTAGAACTCACCAAAACTCACTGGAATCACCCTCACACTTCATTGTTCTTTTTTCAACCTTTAGAAAGCGGCTAAAAACCACTAGGGTTTTAGGCCTTTACTTTTTGTTTCTTTAGGTTTTCATTTTTTGTTTTTAAAGTAAAAGTAAATAAACAAAAATTGTTGGATTTGGAATTTTTACTTAAAGCATTTATTACATAAAATCTTTATCACCTCGGCCTTTAAGGGCATCTCCAACCCCACTTTATTTTAGAGTCAAAACTTTATTTCAGAGTAACATTTGCTCCAACCCTATTTTATATTTTACTCTAAAATAGATTAAATTATAGAGTTACTCTATATTTAAAGTAACTATATTCTCTACTCTATTTTTTTACACTACCTCTATTTTATAGTAAGAAATAGAATAATACACTTGGGTAAAATAATGCTCTATTTTAGAGTTACTTTATAGATAAACAAATAGAGATATGCATTGGAGATGGTGTAAGTTACAAAACCTTATGCCCAAATTTTATGATTATTCTTATATGTATCCGAATTCTAAAAAACCGTCGATTCACTATCCATATCTATATTCGTTTTACGAATATCTGTTTTTCGGATTAAAAGCGGATACGGATATCCACGGATGTGGTTTTTAATCTCAAAGCTACTAGATAGCAACCTTTTCTCTTCATCTTAATTGGTTAGTATGACTTTGACTTGGTTGGTTGTCACTTGTCACATAACACGAAACAATAAGACTGTTAAAAACCATAATTAAGGTCGCTTAGATTCGCTTAAGTGGTGACTTTAATTTAGTTATTATATCCTAGGCATTAGTAAATTGATTATTGACTAACTGTTGCCATTTTAGGCTAACCTTTCCTTTAATGAATATAGGATAAAATAATGCACAGCATGACCAATAATTGATCAAAGTTTGTGGCTTCTTTATTAAATATTAAAACTTAGATCTAAGACTAAATACTAGTTTGCTTACTACTCATTGCTTCTCTACAATTATTTAATTAGTTTTACCCTTTTCCTTAACGAATTAAATGAACTTATTAGTTTTATGGTAAAATGCAAATGCAAATACGTACCTTGATATCGCAACTAATAGTAGTGTCTGTGTTAAGATTTTATTATTAAAAAAAAGAATTAATAATTAAATTTGTAGATTTAAATTAAATTTAGATAAACAAAACCACATTCAGATCATTTAAATTTAGATAGATAAGAAGTAAGAAATAATTATTTACGGAAACGTGTTTCATATATATATATACAAAAAACAGCATGATTTACTAGGAAATTTCCTATGAAAAAGTGTTTCATATATATAGTGGCATTTGTAAATTTAGCCATTTTGAGTAAAGTTTTATGGATTTACCATTTACAAGATTTAAATATAAATTTTACATATTATGCTTAGGTTTTTTTGTTTCTTAGGAATTACTATTAATTGTAAAGTATTGAAGTATGCATTTTAGCAAAAAAAAACCAAAATGTTTAGTTTTTTAAATGAAAAAAAAGAAAAACCTAGAATATTTAAAGCAAAATGGCTAAACTAAAAATTATTAAACCAAAAATGGCATATTCTGTAATAATCCCATTAAAAATCACATCTAGATTGTTTGATTCATATATTTTAAAGTCTAAAGATATTAATATTAAATATATTTTTTGTTTTTCAAGGATATAAATATTTTTACAAAAGGTTAGGGAAATGTTGGTTTTGAAGCAATCAATGCTATATCATAAAAGCTTTTATAATCTTCTGTTATTATTTTGTAGACAATGTTACCATCTGAGTGATGTGTTAAATCATATATTTAAATTTTACAATTTTACTATATTTTAACCCGCGGTATACCGCAGGACGATAATTTAAAATGTGTTTTTTATTTATTTATTTTGCGTGATATATATGATTATACTACAGGCTCGCAAAAAAAAATTGTGCTACATATATTTTGATTGTTAATTATATGATTCAACCCGTATAATACTGCATGAAAAAAAATTTTTTTACATAATGGTAATTTGATACTTAACTAAATAAGTCTACTATTAAAAATATTATGTGAGGATTATGTAAATTATAATCCACTCTATCACATTACACGTACTACACAATTATCAATAATACTTTAGTACATACACTTTTGTATCGTTTGAGTAATATACGTCCATTTTCAAAAATTCAAATTGCAACATATGCAAAAAGAAATTTATATTTTTATTATACATATGTTTTATGTAATAATATAAATCTAAAAACAAATAAGATCATACAAAGATATTGGAAAAATATTTTAGAAAATTTCGTTATATAATAAATATTGATTTCTAGTTTTTCAATTTTATTATTATTTAATTACATAATTTGCCTTAAATTTTTATTATTTATTTAAATGGAAAAATTTTAATTATGCAAATATTATAAATCAAAAGGTTATAACTCAAAAGGTACTTTAAAATGTTAATATAGTTATAATACAAATAATATAATTTAAAATATTTCTCAGATTGGTATCTATGTATCTAGATAAAATAGAATTCTCATTCTGAAGTTTTTTTTATTTTTATTTTTATTTTTATTTTATTTTTTTAATTTTTTCTCATTCTGTAGTTGGGTACTGCACCACCAAGTTTTCCATAAACGTAAATGACGACAAATGCTTTTATAGATAACTAAATTTAAGTGTTTTTCTAAAAATGATCAAACATGGGAAGCATCGATTATGGTAATACCTAATTATTATTGAATACATGTGCAATTACTAACCTTCCCACGAAATTAAGGAATAATACAGAGAATTTTGTTTAACTACAAGACAAATTATCCCAGCTCTGACCAGACCACTTTTTCCATCTTTTGAAAACCCAAAAGAGTGATCTTATTTAAAATTTGTTGTTTACTTATTTCTGAATTTTTAATATCATTTAAAATAGCATTTCCCACACTTATTTATTTATGTATATATGAATGTCTGAATACGAGGGAGGTAGTTGGATCCTGTCTGAACGTGTAGTAACTGTTCACTTAAAATAGTTATTTGCCAATGTAAAACTTTCAAGACATAAAAAATTATTTTTGTATTTTACCATTCGGTGACTTAAAAGTTTAGGCATAAATGATTGAAAAACAAAAAACTAAATTTTAGTAAAATGAAAATTAGTTCTTTTTTATGGGTGTCTACGTAGTTACAAGGTTGTCCCTATATTTATTTAGTAAAAAAAATAAGAAAACAATTATGCAAACCTCCATTTATTTAACCAGCTGCTAATAAGTCAAGACAAATGTATATGTACCGCATGAAAATGATACTGCATTTATTTACTTGCTAATTTTATAATATTGTAATAAGTTTTATATTATGTATTATTATATTTAAATATATGAATAGTATTTGTATGCACATGGTAAGATAGTTATTATACGGATAATATTTCTATTAACATGCTAAGATAGTATGCTCAGTTATTCAATATTCAATAAATTATAACTTTAGCATGTTACTTATTCAATAACTGATAAATTGAAATTTAGCATGCTAAACTATTCAATATTCGATCAATTAACGATACTTGCTTTCACCTATTAAGGTCATACACAATACGAGGAGGAGACCATCTCACAACACCAGCAAAGAAGCCAGCGAACAAAAGCAATGGAAAAAATCACTAGATCTACTTTTTTAGACAGAACTCGTGCCTACCATAGCAGAGATAGTTCTTTTGGCAATTCAACAGCAAGAGATGGTTATTAAACATCTATAATATGGCTAAAATAGTCAGACAAAAGAGAGAGCTAAATAATGAAAGATGAGAGATAAATACTTAATAAAACAATCATCTAGGCACATGAAGTGTAAATACCCTTTACCTTTTATTTATACATTATTTTGTTTGATAACAGACTAAGCTTAAAGACAGGGTTAAAATTAGAAATTTGTTTCATAAATTTGCATTATAAATCTAAAACGACAACTAATATGAACCAAAATCTTAATAATTCTAAAACAACAACTAAAATAAAACAGATAGAATAGTAATTAAAATTTTAAAGTTTACTGAAAATAACGTAGATCTACCAGTTATTGTGGATTCTTTAATGGCTAATAAAAGTATCTAATTAACGAAACCTAGTAAAATCATCGCCGAATATCTTTCTTTATTTGAAGACTAAATTAGTAAAATTATTGAATACAAAGATTGGACACGACTACAAGATATGCATTTTCTCAATGACTTTAAATTTGGTGAAGATGTTGTCTTTCTCTTCCAAGTGGCCGAATTTCTCTGTTTACCTCGACGAAATCGACAATAATAGAGAATAAATCTTAACTTTCACTTTATCTCTTATCTCAAGGAATGCAAATATAAAAGTTGATTCCTTGGCATGCAAAGTTCGTACCGTATCGCATTTTGTTAAATATGTAAACAACTTTCCCTCTAATTGGCTCTTTGAGCTAATCAATTTAGTTTGTAGATAAAACAAAATTATTGAATTAAATTTAAGTTCATTTAAAAAAAAATCTTTATATAATTTAAAAGGAAATTGTAGTAAATAGCTTGATAGTGGTAGAATAACTTCAAATGATGTCTCACAATATTTCCATACTAAATAAATGATTCGATTAATAAATTTTATTAAAATTAAATTTAATAAAAATTGAAACCTTTAAAATTAAAATTTAAAAATTATAATATTTATTAATTTAAAGAGTTATTAATTTATCAATACAGAAATTGAGTCGCAAAATTATTATATTTATCAAAATATTAACTTTTGAGTATTTATTTGAAGATACCACAAATACTCCATAAAGTTTTAAAACATTGAATATTTATGCATATGATTTTAAACTCTTTGACAAAATGTTCTTCTAAAAACAAAACAAAAAAGAAATGATAGAGTCTATGTCTAAGTGACAGAACAAAAGTTAGTAATGCACAATAAACAAAACAAAAATAGATAAATCTGTCCAAATTAAAGAACACACATAGATTTGTATCAATATAAAAACACTCACATAGCTCCCCCAAATAAAGAAACTGTCTTTTTATTCTCATCTCTTTCACAAACTCCCCAATCTCCAACAACAACAAGACCTCTCTCTCTCTCTCTCTCTCTCTTTCTTTGTCTCACGTGAGCTCTTCATCACCACCACCATGAGCTCTTCTCCGGTCGTGAAAGGCCTAACCGACGATGAGAACAAAACCCTCGAACCGGTTATCAAAACATACCACCAGTTCGAACCAAACCCAACCACTTGCACTTCTCTCATAACCCAACGCATCGACGCTCCTGCCTCGGTGGTTTGGCCTCTCATCCGCAGTTTCGACAACCCTGAACGTTACAAACACTTTGTCAAAAGCTGCCGTCTCATCTCCGGCGATGGAAACATAGGAAGCGTCAGAGAAGTGACGGTAATCTCCGGCCTACCAGCTTCAACCAGCACCGAGAGGCTCGAGTTCGTCGACGAAGACCACCGTGTTCTTAGCTTTAAGGTCTTAGGTGGTGAACACAGGCTCAAGAACTACAAGTCAGTGACGTCGGTGAACGAGTTCTTGAATCAAGATTCCGGCAAGGTTTACACGGTGGTTCTTGAATCTTACACCGTTGATATTCCCGAGGGGAACACAGAGGAAGACACGAAAATGTTTGTGGACACTGTCGTCAAACTCAATCTTCAGAAACTCGCAGTTGTCGCCACAGCTCCACCTATGCATGATGAATGATTTCAAGATTCTTTTCTCAATCTTCTCTTAAGTCATATCTTAATAATAATTATTCTTATATTTTTCCCTTTGGTGATTATTTTTTTACTTTATTTTTGAGATTTTTTTCCATATGACTATTGTGGAAGCTAGCAAATGTTTATTTCGATTCCATGAAAGAAACTGTTGTTGCATAACGCATATTAGTTCTCTGTTTGTTTTTATTCAATAAATGGCAAATCAAGAATTCTGACATTTTGATTCTGCTTTTTTCATCAATCTCTATATAACAAGAATACAACCTAAAACCGACAGGCAAATCCGTCATTACTCGTCGGAAATGCATATTACTGACGAGTAACAGACGTATACGATTATATAGAGCGTTAGATATATAAAGCATTAGATCTGTCAGCAAGTCGTCGGTTACTACGAGATTTATAGTATAGTAATTTGTATTAGTATTGTAATTATATCACCTTTCAAATTTAGTCCACTATGTTAAAGGTTGTTAAAAAAACTGTAAGCAATGAACTACAATTATTGTAATTTTTCCAATTAGTGCAAAATAATATAATTTCTTTGTTTTGTATTTACAAAAGGAATCTAATGGTCTAGATTCGTGTAGAAGCTCTTTTGCCTTTCATTTCAATTAAAGTGCTGAAAAAAAGAGAAGTGAATCACATTATGCATGCAGCCATGTACTACTTCCAATGGCTGTGTCCACAAGTTGTTCTACCTTTTGAGATATAAAAAACAAATACAATATTTCAATTTCGCTTAATTTGTTTCTTCTTCTTTTTGTGCTCCAAAATGGCTTTAAATTATATTCATATATATTCACTTAGAAATATCTAGTATATGTTTTGAAAGCAAACCTATAAGTGTTTTATTTTTGAGATGTAATCAATCGAATAATGTTTGTTTACACTTTGTAGGTTAGAAATAAGGTGCAACATAATTTATTTGAATTATGGAAGTTGTAATAGTGATAAACGAATGAAGTTTTATTTTATGTATAATATAGTACGAATAACTAACGATCTTAGTTAGTTATAATACTAATTTAGTTAAATAGAAATTTTAGTTAATTATTTAATCATGTCGAATCCAGAGTTATCATACACGACGAGGAGTACTTCAGTTTGGACTTTAAACGTAGTTCTTCAGTTTTGGTTGTTTTGATTTATCCTTCATACTAGATTCTCAAAAAAAGCTTTTTGTTTTCTTTAGCCTTTAGACAACACACAATGTATTTCAAAAGTTATAATTGTTAGGACCACGAAAATCCATAGTAAAAACAACAATTAAAACCTCTTTTGAAAACGATTTGGAAAAAAAAAAAAAAATAGTTGAATGCGAGATTTGATCTCTATTCTTAACCCAAACAAGCTCCTGTAGTGTGGCTATTGGTGAGCTTGATGAATCTCAAATTACAATCAACTCGAACACGTATCATCACACTTGATAACATGTTCCAACAAACGTTGATTAAACGTACACTCTTAAATCTAAAACTAACTTTTGAAAGAAGAGAAAAACTCCAGCGGGCGAAGAAATGAATGAGCAACGCTGGCTTTTATAGCCACGGGTTAGAACTCCAGCTGAAACTTGAGGAGCACGTGCAACAACAACTTGCACAGCAAATTTGAGCGAAATGCTCGTAGCTGAAGCAGATTTCGTGGGTTGTTAGACAAGTGGATGAAGATTCGGTTCAGTTGGTGTGAGAAATACTCGGCCATGCAAGATTCTCGGATACCAATGCAAATTAATTTTAGGAGATAAAATGTAACACATAAATGAAACATAAAAACTTTCTCCAAAAAAAAAACAATCTTTGAATAGTCTTGATTGGGCCATGGGGCCCATTTTCCAAGGCCCAACCCCAAACCCAAGCCCGGCACGGCGGCGGCGGTAGCACGCGTGTGTGGTTTGCATAACAATCCATCATCTCACCATAGTCTCTTTTTCCCATATCTAGTGAACCTTGATATAAGTGTATCACTATATATACTAATGGAAAATTTTCCAATCTTTCAATGTAGGACAAATGCACATATTTGTTATAATAAGCTTTCAAGCTATCCACTTTGGAGATATATTAATCATACAATATAACTTTGATTTTCACACGTATATACTATCTTATAGTGATTATTACAAGGAATCCAAAAAATCCAACTTCCGGTCATTCCGACGACAGACGTCACCGGACAATTGGCCGGAGCCATTATGTCAAATTTGTAGTTCCAACAATAATTACATTTTGTATATTGATTATTGACTATAGAGAGAACTACATATATAATATCAGAATTGTGAAATAATTTTGGAGTAGTAAAATATATAATACTTATCTTTTCGATCAAGGGTCCTGAGTGAACTCCATATTTAAGGGTGGTTATGCTGAGTAGTCAAATGATGGGTCATCTTCCGGGAAGTGGTTGTCGGGACTGTGTGAGTGAGGCCAAAACACATGAAAAGATAAACAAGTAATTAAGCCTCCCAGACCTAGCAAACCGGTCGTCGGATATTGATGGGCTCATGAGCCTAGTGAGAGAACGTGAGACTCATTAAGAGAGGTTGGCACATGGGCTGATGGTGAACATGGGGCCCATTAGAGAGTTGACGGTCGTGACGTTACATAGACTGCCTAATTTCTAAAAATCCAAAATTCAAAATATTAATTTAAGAAAATTCCGACTATTTTTTTTAGAATAAATATCAATTCTATAATTTCAGATCATGTAGATTGTAGAATACACCTAAAATATATAATCTTGATTTCTTGGAACATATAAAAAATGTAGGAAACATGTTTAAAACTTTTCAATAATAATTTTACCAATCTAAAATCAATATATTACCAATAAAATCACAAAATCTATGCTTTAAATCTTCTTCATTCTTGTTTGTCAACATTTGTCTTATTTTTCCTTCTTAAAACAGCCTAAAATTTCGATTTATCTCTTGATAAAAGTAGTTTAATCACAAATGAGGATCGTTTAGATAATTAAAATAGAAAGAGAAAATGAGTTTTTCTTTTTTTTTTTGTTGATGTGGGAAACTAAGGGCATGTACATCGGTTGTGGTCGTCCCCCCAAAAAATTTTTTTTTTTTTTTTCAAATTTTTTGAAATTTTTTTTTTAAAAAAGTATGTAACCAATCGCGAGCCGCCACGTGTTAGTGGGGCCCGCGATTAGTGAAAGAAGGAAGCGCGGGACGTCCCGTTTTTATTGATGACCCACCCTTTTCTTTTTTGTTTTGATTTATTTTTAATGAAAAAAATATGTAGGACTTTGGTTATTAACACCAATGTGCATGGTCTAAGAATCTTATCAAATAAAAAACCTCTCTCCTCTGTTCTCTCGAAGAGGTTGCCCTAGCCGCCGCTCAACTCTACGAGACCTTTGTTCGCCCTATCCAGTTAGCGGTACTCTTCGTCGTGACTGTGAGAGGGAGGACCTCTGCTGATTTTCTTTCTCTTGTTGTAGTTTTGGAGACATTACCGTGGTCCGCCGGGTTAAATTTCCATCTTTTGGACGTTATATGTATTTCATCCTTGGTTCCACAACAAGGTTTAATATAATTCCAGTTGACAAAAAAAGAAAACTAAAAATCTTATAACATCCTTAATTTGCAAATTCTTTAAATGGAAAAACAAATAAGTATTACTATAAATTAATAAAATATTATGCTCTTAATATTATTAATTTATATAAATTTTTACTGGATGAATAATTAAAATCAAACAAAATATAATTACAGTTTTCTCGTTAACCCACAAAAAAAAAACCTCATACTGTAAGTAAAACCAAATCAAAAATTAGATTATGACATGTCAATATACATGGCCTCAATGAAGCCCAATTAGGCCCAATCCCCGACCGTAATCAGATTACTTGCGCCGGCGGAATAAAATCTACGGCGACCTGACTTCTTCACATTTTCACATCTCTCTCTCCCCCATAACTTCAACAAAAGTTCGCCGGCAAATCAAATAGACGGTGAGTTCTTCAGACCTTGCTTAGGCTTTGGTTTCTTGCGATGAGTTGCGACAGGATCAGCGAATTACCAGATTCTTTGCTAACACAAGTACTCTCATACCTTCCGACCAAAGATTCCGTTAAGACAAGTGTTTTATCCAAGAGATGGGAATGTCTTTGGCTTAATGTTCCTGTTCTTGACTTAAAGGTCAGTGATTTCCCTGAAGAGGACTATGCCAGCTTTATAGACAATTTTCTTGAATTCAATCCAAACTCAAGAATGCAAATGTTCAAGATCAAGTATGATGAATACACTTATGACGATGATCGGTTACTCGGATGGGTTAGTACAGTAGTGGAACTTGGGATTGAGCATTTAGTTGCTAAGGGTTTTGAGACTGATATGTGTATCAGAGAGTTCTTGCCTTTGAACATATATAAGAGCAATACATTGGTGTCTTTGGTGCTTGTAACAGTAGGAATCGCGAATCCCGAGTTCGTTGTTTCTTTACCTTCTCTTAAGATCTTGCATTTAGAAGATGTTTGGTATTTTGATGATCCTTTGATTATGGAGAAGGTTATTTCAGGTTGTCCTGTTCTTGAAAATCTTGTTTTGATTAGGCCTATTGATTTTTGTGATCTAGATGTCCTGCAGTTTCTTCGTGTGAGGTCTCGGACTCTTAAAAGCTTTCGTCTCGCGTTTGAGTATAGTATGAGTCGTAGTGATAGTGGTCTGCATTACTCGGTTGAGATTGATGCTCCGAGACTTGAGTATTTGAATTTTAGTGATAACACTTCTGATGTGATTATAGTCAAGAACTTGACTTCTTTGTTCATGGTCGATATTGATACTGAATTTAATGTTAAGTTTGGTGGTAGTCCTTTGGAACTGGGGGATTTAAGAAAGAGAGATACTATTCGTGATTTTCTCATCGGTGTATCTAGTGTAAGGCAAATGATCATCTCTCAGCCTACTTTAGAGGTAAGTTATATACTTTTTGATGCATATATGTAACAAGAAAATGTACTTTGATCACTTATGATGTATCCTTTTTTTATTTTTTCTCGCAGGTCCTTCATCGATATTCCAAATTAGGACCGATTCCTAAATTCGATAACTTGTACCGTTTACAAGCCACGATCTCTTGGTCCATGTTGCATCTGTTGCTCGGCTTTCTTGAGAGCTTCCCAAATCTGAAAAACCTCATCTTGGTAAGATTCTGAATAAATACAGTATGTGATTTGGTTTGTTAGTTAATAACATCTCTGAATCTATTGCAGGACTTTGTTGTTTCGACGGAGCCTGAGCAAGATGGACTTAAACTTGTGCCTCAGTGTTTGTTATCTAGTCTGGAGAGTGTTGAGATTAGAGAATTGGTTATGGGAGAAGAAACTGGCAAGAAATTAGTGAAGTATTTTCTTGAGAATTCGTTAGTTCTACAGAAACTCACTCTGCGTTTCGAAGATTATTCGATATCAAACCAAGATTCAGATATCTTCAAGGAACTTTATACTTTCACTAAGGGTTCTCGCAGCTGTGAGGTTATCTTTCATTGACAATGTTTATAGAAGATCAATATATGAATCTTTTGTTATGAAAATATGCAATTAGGCTAGCATTTTCAAGACATTGATGTTATGTTAGATCATATGAATGGTAAATTGTATTACTTTCGTCATTTTATTGTAAGAAGTAATTATTCTCTTTTTTTGGTAACATATTCACATTTTATCAAAGCACATACGTAACGCTTCCTCTTGAGAATTAGATCTCTAAGCATTAACAGTTTTAAACCCTCGAAACATACGTACCTATGCATGTTACATTATGAGTTGTGAAACAAAAACAGTATCAGAATCTTGAGTTTTTCGAGTTATTTAACTACAACTTCCTAAAAAGACTTAAACCAAAAAGTCAAAAATATGTATAACCAAAAAGTCAAAAAAAATATACCATATAATAAATAAGGTTTCTTCAATAGGTAACACAAGCAACCATTAAGACACGCCACATATCTTATAACTTTAAATATATTATTTGTTTAATATAAGCAATTTTTAAGGGTTTCTCTAGTAGAGTTGGTCTAATGATCTAGCTCTTTCTTTTGCGACATATGATTCAGTCAATTAGACAATTCATCTTTTTATAAATAAAGGTAAAGTTAATTTGAAAAGAAAAGTTTTTTTTACAACAAGTGCAACGCACTTCTCGCACAACTTCTGTGCTTCCACCATTGTCGTAGTTTCTACATATATGTACACACATCTCTCATCAAGATTAGTTATCAAATAAATAAAAATTACCTTTAACCACACACAATTTTATTTATATGATAAGGGCATTTCTCATCACTGAAAGCAGCAAAGAGAACAAGAGCAGCTAAGAAGAAAGTAATGATGGAAGCAAACTTGGCCATGATGATTATTACTACTTTGTTTTCAACCTCGGCCTATTTATAATGAAATGATCGTAAATTAATCTTCCACCACATAAATATATATTGTAACCTAAGCGGCTGCTTTGGCTTTAAGCTTATGAAACATGCATTGTAAAACGGCCATTATTCGTGGTCTAGACCATCTCTTAGTCTATAGGAGTCTATCTCTTAGCAAATCTTAAAAACATATTTTTGTAGTGGTCTATCGATATAGTTTGATTTTATCTCAAAAGCTGCATCGTTCTGCCAAGTTTGCATGAACAATCTATTGTTTGGTCGTCGCTAGTATTAAAAATTAATCATTACAGCAGTATGAAACATGCATCGTAAACATGAGCGGCTGGTTAGTTAATATGACACAAGAAAATAAGATTGTACGTAACCAAGTCACACTTACACAAGTTATATTGATATGTCAGATTGACCTATGTAGACGGATCTCATTGCCGGGAAACCAATTACAATGAAATTTTGGTAATCGCGGCAATTTTGTTTTTTTTTAGCAATAACCGACGGATTTGTCCGTTGGAAAATCCGTTAGTAACGACGTTATAAGCAAAGCAAACACTTTTTCTTCTTCTCCACAATTTCTTTTCTCTCACAAAATCGGTTACGACGATTCTCTCTCTTTCGCCGGCGACGAATCTCTCTCCGGTGTTATATTCCGACGAATCCACCGTCCAATCTCGACAATCTCCATTCTCGTGAACTTCTTATGGCGTAAGTCCCTAATTTTATTCTTAATTTTTTTTGTTAGGTTTTGTTAAATTTCTTGAGAATATGATATATATATATATAAAATATATATACATAGATTTGTTAGATTTGGTTATAAGAATAGATATGGGATCTAGATTTGTTAGAACTGGGTGTTAGATTTGTGTATTCAATTTGGGAAGATTGGGATATTTGTAAGAGTTGGTTTTGTTTTGTTTTGTGTTAGTTAGATTTTTGTAAGAAATCTTTCTGTGTGTTATTGAATGGTAAGAAATGGATTTCGTAAGAATTGTTTGTTTTTTTAAATAGATATTAGTTGTTTTGTTAAATTGTATGTTAGGGATTTTAATTTGTTCTAGAATAAATTTAGATTTTATTTTTGTGTTTTTGATTTATGAAATATAAATTATTTTGGATTAACGTATATATAACTATCATACTATCATAATTTGTTTATTTTTTATTTTACAGTATTTCTAATATTACTAGCATTTCTGTTGTAGGTTTTATTAATTTTATGAATATTGAAAATATAAATTACTTTGAATTCTAAGCAAATATCATATTATCATACTTTGTTTTCTTATGAAGTTTAAACAGTACTTCGAATAGAATATTTGTTTTATGAAGCTTATTTGTAAATATTGACACTTAATTATCATTTCTAACAAAGTTTTTGCTTGTTTGTAGGAATTATGATAATTATGATCATAAATCGTCTAGCCATACTGCCGGAGAAGCGAGTGCTACTCGATCACATGATAGCCCAGTTCCGGATTCACAAGCCTCACAACATGCTCCCATGAAAATAAGCAGTGAAGATTTTGTCTCTCAACCGGGCCGAGAACGAATCCCGGAGTTACATCCGCATTTCATTCCCGGGTCAACATGGTTCAAAGAGTCTCATAACGGCATCTCAAAATCCATTTTGCGCATGATTCAAAGAATCCTTAAAAAACCATATGCAACGTTCTCAGTGATGCCAACGAGTGAACAAGAAATGTGGTTCAAGCAGTTTGCGGTAAAAGTTTCAACTTTAATTACTTGTTTACAACATCATTGTGTGGGCTAATATGCATTGGTTTGGTTTATTTAGCAAGATTTTAATTGGCATCGGGATTTTACCAATGAAGTTCGAAGAGAGTTCAAGAAGGCAGCCGCTTTACAATATACTAGAACTTTGAATGAGTGGAAGCAAAGGTGGAAAAAAGGAAAAATGCCAAAAGGGGTGAACCAAGAAGTGTTCGATGGTTTGGTTATTTATTGGGGGAAACCATATACTATTTCACGTGCCTCACAGGATTCTCTGAATAGTAAAAGCAAACGTGGTCGGGTGGGCATGGGTACCCACAGTGCTGGTCCAGTAAGCGCCTCTACTCGAAAACGTCAACTTGTAAGTTTTCAATTTTTTGTGCAATATTTTTTCGTTAGACAATTTATATATAACTAAACTACTTCATTCAGATTAGTAGGGATGGTGTGGTACCCGACCATCTTACTTTGATGGAGGATATGCACACTAACAAAAAAACAAAGCATTTACAAGATGGTCGAGCTAAGATGATCATCGAGGCTTCGAGGAGGCGGAATGAGGAGGTGCGCCTTTCTCAACCTGTTGTACAATCTTCTGACGGATCGGAGTCTACTGTTGAATTAAGAAGAGAGAAAGTGAACAAGCTTTTTGTCGAGGTATAACTTAAAAAAAAATAAGTTTAATTTACTTTGTTGTAAAATATTTAAACAATTATTTTTAATGTATTTGTAGGAAACTTGTAAAACCAAGAGACGGATTTTTGGATTAGGAAATCTCTCCCAAATAAGTTCATCTTCTCGCTCAATGGGTTTCTCATATGCATCCATCCAAGAGTTCCAACAAGCTATGAAAAAAAAGGATGAGCGTATTGCGGCTTTGGAGAAGAAAATGGAAGAACAAAAAGCAGAAAACAAGAAGAGAGATGAGAATCTAGCAGCATTCATGATCGAGATGCGGTCAAAGATTTCGTCTTCTTAGATTTTATGACTTTCAGGTTTTTTGAACAATTTCTTGTTTATCAAACAATTTCGTGTTTTTAGTTTTTCAAATATTCATAAAATTATAAATTCAGAAATTTAAATATCTAATCATTTTTCATAAATAACTTGAGTTTTTAATTTACATAACTTTGATAATTTTAATTTTATTTTTTAAAAATAAATTTTTGATGATCTGTCGGTTAGGCGAAGACTTTTCTAGAAAAGTTACTTAGTAAAACATTGGTAAAGATGGACATTTGTCGAATAACTGTCGGTAATCCATCGATAGTGACGACTTTTTTTGAGATTATGTCGGTAATCCGTTAGTACTGAAGTAGATTTCCGGACATTTGTTTTCAAGTTTCTTACGGAAACACGCTTGAAAAATGTCACTTTACTAACGAATTATCGACGGATTACTAATGCTTCTATTCATCGATAATCAGTCGGTAGTTTCACCTTGGAAATTTGTTGGTAATTACCGGTTATTTACTGATAGGTTTTTTAACTGATGCTCTTGAAAAGACCAACTGATCCGTCTATAATCCATTGGTTACATCTGTTTCCCAAGGATTACAGACGGATTTGCATTTAAGTTTTGAGTTGTTTTTATGTAGAGTAAATACTTTGAAAATAACAATGTAAGATATTTCTTTGGGCAAAGTTTATGAAAGGTGTATTAAAGCATCACCCCTTGACATATTTCGTAGTGATCTATCGACATGGTATAATTTATCTCAAGAGCTGCATTGTTCTGCCATGTATGCATGAACAATGTATTATTGGTCGTGGCCAATAGCCCTGAGACGGATCTAGATATCCGGGTTTTTTAGAGGTATCGGGATCCGGATCCGTATCCGCCGGATATAGAGTTTTGATGTCTGAATCCGAATCCGGCTACCCCGGATATATGTGTTTCGGATTCCGCAAAAAAACCCGGATATCCGGCTCCGACTATTTTTGTTTCATTTTGTTTTTGTATCAAAGAATCTCCATCAAAACCATTGAGACATACATCATGTGCGAACATGAGATATGAACCACCAGCAGAAAGAGTAGATAAAGATCAACAGAGATGAAAAAACACCATAAATAGAAAAGTCAAATTTAAAATCTCGCCGATCCGTTGGTGGATGAAGGCGAATGGTGGAGGAGAGGATGATTTGGTGGTGGAGATGGTCGCTTTATTGATAGATGAGGGCGATCAAGTGGAGGAAGAAGACGATTTGGTGCCTTCTTAGGTGGAGATGGTCGTTTTGGTTGCAGCTAGAGATGTGAAAAAACTGTTGCGGCGCTAGGTGAAAAAAGCAAAGAACGAAGCTTGAGAAGTTGAGATATTAGGGTTTGAAAGTAATTAGGATATTAGGCTTTTAAGATAAAACACTGTCCACAATTAAGCATTTACAAATTGGTCTCATTTAGAGTTATTAGCATTTACACCTACTTTAAACTAAATTATTCACCACTACACCCACTTTCAACTATACCTATACTTTTCCTTCCTGAAAAGACTATCATATCCTCAAAACAATCTAAC